CGTGCAGGTTTATTAAAGTCACGTTTAGTGGAAACGCGTGCAGAACAGCTCTCTAAAGGTTCCTGCTCTATAGTATGTGGGCATAAATAAATCATCAGCCCTGGCGTCAGAGCATCCGAGTGCACACGAGGCTTTGTGCTGTGTGTGAGTTTGTTGCAGCAACACAACCTGTGTGCCCTTCACAAAGAGGAGAATAAAAGGGCAGGACAAATGGATCATGGTGTGCAGGTTGTAATACTTCTCCCAGCATGTGTCCCATACCTCCAAACAGAGCTGCAGGATGACTGAACCTTTAAAGGAGTAAAAATGTGCATCCCTCTGACTCTCACTGAGAAAATACTACAGGAAAATTGTAAACTTTTATCAGATTTGAGTTGTCCAACACTAGATGCCCATTCTCTGATGATTTCAGATCAACATGGCCCTTTACATCATGATGGTGACTCCATCATGATCCTTACTTTGTTGATAAAATAATCCAGAGTAAAACATCCCATTATCTGACATGTCTCCTTCAACTCATCCATCATCATTATGGTACCAAACCAAGGAACTAGATCACGTCTATCATTACAAAAACTTTGGACTATTTTTGTCTGCAACTCCTTCAGCTTTGCTGCAGCAGAAGACTGGAACAACTTACACAACACCTTCAAACTCACAACTTTAATCTCTCTCACTAATTTTGAACTTAAACTCCAACAGATGATAGCTGACTACAGCTCTGCTGATTATTCATGTAGGCACATTTTTTTTATTTTGCCAACATACTTCATACATTTTTATCCTTATATTTATTTATTTTTTATGCATAGTTCTGTACGATGCATCGATGTACCCATTCCTTGACCAATGTCATGTTTGTAAATGAAAACTGCTTATCAAACATTTCACCAGATAAAATAAAAGGTTATATTAAAAAATAAATAAAAACTGTACATTCATGTCCCCCGTCTCTGAGGGATTTGAATAGTGAATGTTTGTAGTTTTTGGAGATAAGTGTTTATTTATTAATTTTTTTATTTTTTTTTTACTGGAATTGAACAGGAAATTAAAGTAAACCTTAATGTTTGTGGTGCAAGATATTCAAGTGAGTAGAAGTTGCACTGTGGAGAAGAACAGTTGTTTTCAGTTTTAATTTCAGGTGCAATGGCGGATGGGTGGCCAGTGGTGGCCTTGGCCCCTATAGCTTAATCTTCAGCCACCCCAATCATTTGAGGAAACTATACTTTCAAAACAATATAAAAACTAGAAAGCATAGTTTCCTCAAACTATTAGGCTAAATGGTTTACACATAGCAGTGGCCATCTTGGATTTTGACGTGGCAACCCAGTTTTCAAAAGAAAACTTTTTTACAACTAGATGTAGCCACACACCAACATGGAAGTCAGTACCTCGCTCATTTTTCAAGTTCTCGTTCTCACAACATGCACAGAGACAAACAGACAGAGGGTATTTCCAAGTCCTTCTCTTCGCTCTACGATGAAGGACAAAATAAAAAATATGCAGTACTTCATACAGGCCATGATTTTAGCTCCAAACACACAAACACACACAGTGGATCAGTAGTACAGCATTTATAAAATGTATATACAAATATAAAAAGTGAAGAAGTTAAATATGTTAATCTAAATAAATGAAGTATTTAAGGTTAATAAAAGGGTTTAACACCCAACAGGGACTTATTTTAAGCTGCTGAATCCCAAACAGAGACTTGGCACAAAGCTTTAGGCACAACATTATCCTGTAGGAGATGTCAACCAGATTTTAACAAAAGGTTACATAAGAGATTTAGATTCATAAAACTAAATCTTACTGCCCATACACTCTTGTCCCTTCTAGCTGCAAAAACTATTCTTCTTACCATTATAGCTTTTGATCGCAGTAGTTAAAACTCAAAGATTAATAAAAACTCATTAACAGTTGATGGTAAAACCTACAACACACATGTATGAAGCATGTTCCTCGAACGAGTGTTAGCAAACAGGACCACGTTTGTAATCCTTATCGTTCACTGAACAGCTGTGTGCTTTATTGTGAAGGTCTTTGTTAAAATAAATTGCACTCCTGACACGAGATGGGTCTCATTCATGTGCAAAAAGCCAATTATACACAGCTCGTTAAGATAATCACACAAACGAGTGCACCGCCTTCCTGTTGAACTCTAAACGCTTGCTGTAACTTCAACATAAAACTAACAGAAGGATTTGATGGATTAAACTATAGAAATGTCATTTCCTGTGAAAATGCATGTGAATGCTTGTTGCTGAATGATTGCAGCTGCAAGCTGCTGAAGAAGCTTAAAGCAGCTGAAAATGTTTACTCTCTAAACTGTGAATGTGAGCAGAGTTTGAACAGCTGACGTTTGCTGAAAGCAGGAAAATAAAAGCTGGAAGAAGCAGAAAAACAGCAGAAATGTGTAGAAATGCTGAATAGAGTGGAAATGAGCAAAGTGAGCTGAAATGGACACGAGGATGAAGAGATAAAAACTGAAATTGGCAAAAAATAAACTGAAATGAGCAGAAAAAGGGCTGAAAGGAGCATAAAATGTTAAAACTAAAAGAAAGCATAAAAGGCCAAAATTAGAAAAATAAAACAGAAAATACCCAAACAGTGGCTAAAGTGGCAGAAAAATGTTGAATTTAGCAGAAAGAAGCTGAAATGAGCTTGAAAAGATGAAATTGGCAGAAAGAAACTGAAAAAATAAAAAAAGTTTAAAAAAATTGAACAAAAAAAAAACTGAAAGGGGCTGAAGCAGAAGAAAAGCTGAAGTGAGCAGTAAAAGCTGTAAACAGCACAAAGACTGAAGGATGTGGAGAGCTCCTTTTGTTTTCTATGAGAAAAAACATGGCCGACAAAGCTAAATATTTCTAAATGTAAAAATTGCACAAACACCAAGTCTCAGCAGGAATGTCCTGAATGAGCCGAATGTTTTGATTCATGAATTGTTGAAACAGAAGAAAAACTGAGGAACGAGTTGCGTGCTGACAAACAAAGAAAAATGGATCTGAATCAAAAGAATGATTCAGAAACATTCAGACAAATGGATATAAAATACCAAGTCAAGGTAAACCAGTTCACCAAATGTGTGAACCATCACATCAAGGAATTACATCAGATTTGATCAAAATGAACATTTTCAGATTTCTGTCTTTGAAACTACATTGTGGTTCAAAGATCATCATGAGTCACTCTACGCTTGAGTTGTGTTACTAGTTGTTTTGCCACCGTCTCAACTCTCCTTGGCTCCACACAGCACAGCACCAGTTAAGGGCCTCCCCACTGCTGGTACCAACCCCCACTCAGCATGATTAATGGGACCACCTTGTTCCAAGTGGGTTGCTCCGAGGGGTTGATTAACGTAAGCAGACAGCAACCATTGATTGGTCAGAGGAGCTACGTCACTGGATGACCTGTCCAGCAAAACTGCAAAGTACATCTGAACGTCTACTTCCTCATTGTGATGACGGACAGCGCCACGAGAAATGAACGTCTTTACTGAGAGATATCAGAGATGATGGTTACACCCAGAGTTATAAGCAGTGCCGAGATAGTCTAACAAAATTACTGTCTGATCACAAGGCGATCAGGGATCACAATGGGCGGAGTGGCTCGAACACAAAAAGACAAGTTATGATCCCGCCCACAGAGCAGGGAAACAGGTCAACCTCCACTGTAATGACAAATCACATCCACTGGAGAAGAACAGAAGGGAGCTGAGTGGAGCCAGACTTATCAATGGCAAAGCAGCATAACTGGGATAACCTCTAGAAAATGGGTCAGAATCTTGTTTTTAGGATAGTCTAATGACAATTTCTTGACATACATCATTTGAAAGAGGAAGCCTCAGACTATACTTGGATATCAGGATTTTCCAGCTGGTATTGAAAATAGATCAGTCAGTAGCAATATTTAAGGCTTTTCTGCTCAAAACCACGGTTTTTGTTGGTACTGCTCAGAAAAGTGCTTCAAAACATTTCCTTCAAGGGATCCATAGATAATGCATTTACCATATTTTAACTAAACCATATTATTACAATTTTTCCAACCCATGTAATGTAGCTCCTGTATCTCACCATACAACCTTGTGATGTTACCCCCGGTGAGACAAGACGAGTCACATAAACAAACAGCCTTTCAGGTGAATGCACATTTAGCTTGTTCAGAGATTCTACTTCCTCAGACGGCTGAGGCGAGCTGGTCTGGGAAGCTCAATCCTCACCTTCTTCTACAGGTGTGAGGTGAAGAGCATCCTGTGCTCCAGCATTAACGTGTGGCATGGAGGCTGCACAGCTGCAGAAAGAAAAGCTTTGCAGAGAGTGGTGAAGGCTGCACTATCGGAGTCAGCCTCCCCACCATCACAGACATCTACACCTCTAGATGCAGGAAGAGGGCCACCTGCATCATGAAGGACCCCACTCACCCAGCACACACACTTTTTGCCCCTCAGGAAGGAGTTTGAGGAGCATTAAGTGTAGAACCACTAGACTGAGGAACAGCTTCTACCCTGAGGCTGCTAGACTCACGAATCTCTAACCAGAATAATAACTGTGGACAAAAATCACATGTTGCTGTTGATCTGTTTCATGTTGCTGCTGATCTGTTTCATGTTGATGTGTTCATGCGTGCTCATCTGCTCACACAAACTCATGTTCGTGCTGCTGTTCGGCATATTGTTTTAGTACTTCTACTGCTTAGTGTATTTTAATGTTTTTCTTAGTTAATATCTTAGATCTTATTACCGTTTTTCTTTTACATTAATACTTTTGTTGGATGTAACTGGGACCCTGTGTACACAATTTCATTCCACCACATGTGGTGTGTATGACAAAGAACCATGAATCCTTGTGCTGTTTTTCTGATAACTTTCTGTGCAGAAGAAAAATCCAAAGAGAGCCTGAACTGAACATTTTAGTTTCCACAGCGTCTCATAAAGTAAACATGTGACGGTTGAGGTTTCAGGGTTACAACCCAGTAAAGGAGCTTCAACACTCCCTCACCTTGGTGGTGTCATCATGGGAACGCTGGTAGCGTTTCCATCGGCAGCCGTAGGTCCCGGTGATACACGACAAACACAGCTGGCGCTCATAGACCTGGAGGGGTTGGTGTTTCACCATGCTCCTTCAGTCAGTCCTGCTGTCAAAGCCACAGCTAACATCCCACTGGTTTCAAAAGATCCTGCAGAAAAACGGAAAAGAAAAAGTATTTTTGGTAAATTAAACAAATCCACCAACAGCAGAAACCATGAAAAAGGCGAACAACTTAATGCGCCTGGAGGTCTGATTGAAAACAACACGCTGCGCTGATGAGCGGCGTGCCAGCGACACAAAGGCTAGCATTAAATGAAGACGTTTCAGCAACCCCGTTTCCAACGACAACAGAGAGGAAGGCACTTTCATCCATGGGGGTCAAGAAAAAAAATAAGAAACAAGATTGAAAAGAGGCTGGAGAAGCAACAGCTATTGAATATCACATTAAATCACAGAGAGCCTGAACGCCTCACACCGTTTGCACACTTAAATGTAGCATTTTTATTCCTTTTCTGTCAGGGTCATCGAAGGTCTTTTAAGAAAAGGAAAACAACAGTGAGGTTTCAAAAGGCCTCAGATTAGAGTAAAAAAAAAAAAATCAAGGCTGTAGCTCTGCACAACACTTAAATCTACAAGAAGAATCCTGTTCAACACTTTTTAATCAAGGACATCCTGTTCTCTGGGTCGCCTTTCCTAAAAGGGTGTGGTCTCTTTGCATCAATAAACACTTCACCTGATCATTTTCAGCTGGAATTGATCTTTACGAAGGAAACGTTCAGCCGTACAGAAAAGGTCTCTGTGTGAAGCGAGGTGCCAGAGGTGCCAGGCTGTGTGAATAATCATTCAGAACTCTGCTGATCCTCCTGAGCTGCAGCTGAGTCAGCACACAGACTCCATCATAAGCTATCATAGTAATTACAGCAGTGCTGACTGTTATCACAACTTTACTTCACGTCCCATAAACATGGAGCACGCTGGACTGCAGCTCACACACACACACACACACACACACACACACACACACACACACACACACACACACACACACACACACACACACACACACACACACACTT